ACAGTACGACTGTGGGAGGTGGCGACGGGGACATGTCGTAGCACGCTCGACGTACCTTTCGAGCATTTCTCGTATATCAATTTCTCACTAGATGGCCGCGTACTCCACACGAACCAAGGCAACATCTGCTTACCCCAATCTTCTATTCTCGAATGTGTTCCCAGGCCGCAGTCGCAGTCCTTCTCTGTTCTAGTGCAAAATCAATGGATATTCCGCAACCAAGAACGTTTCCTATGGCTTCCTCTAAAGTACCGGTCAAGTTTGACCGTCGTACGCGGAGGCATAACTTGTCTACCGCTTGTATCTGGCCACGTTGTTCTGCTTAGGACCCTCTAACGCCATGCTTCTATATTCTCGCTTCGATACAAGTGTAGTGTAGGCGTTATAACGTAGTAACTATGAATAGTCGTTATGTAATACATATCTTGCCCTTCACAATTTCCTCATGAACGACTTTCACGTTATCTAGAGTTTATACAATTAGATCGCCGACTAACGCTGCGCTACAGCCCCAATTGCCGCTAGAAATAGATGACGCGAAAGCAATTACATAGCATCTGCAGTGCCGCTTGGCGAAAGCCGAGGTACTGGTTACAACCGCGATCTGGCATGAAACTAGGCATTGTAGGCGTCGAGAGGCTGAAGGTACCTTATTGTACTATCTTAGAGTCTCTACAGCATAGCCGCAACCTTCTAGCATTTTCCAGACGCTACAAGCTTCTATACAGGGTTGTAGTAAAGCAATACTACAACGCACTGATGGAGGTCTACTGTGACTTACGCAAAGAAGCGGCAATAGCAATATAATTTTTAGTTAGAAGTGCTAAATTATGTCTATAGTTAAATGAACCTAGCACATCAAAAACACGGGCTTCTAGCGATCTTCATCATACGTGCAGAAAGTGAAGTATCGAAAGCCAAAGTACTCCTCATTTGTCTCAACACAACGGGTGTCCCAGCACTCAGGGAGGGACTTTAGTCATTCTTACGTCTGAGAAACATTCCCCTTAATCATATCGTGTTGTAGTGGCTATACTAACATCTCTAGTTGGCGACTTCAGATTGTATGACTGATGATAGTGATATAATTTGCGAGTTACTTACAAAAGTTTGCTAATCAACTAGTTATATGACTTCCGGTCTACATTTAAGAAAAACGACCATTTGACTATCTTTAATGCATGAAGCTCCTGGGTATGATCTTGGCTAGCCCGCGTGACAGTCTTGACATCTTCCTCATAGATGCCCCTGCAAGCTGCTGCTCCTGCGACGAACACACCTCAGCGTGATGCTGGCAGCAAGCCAATGTAGTAGGATGGCCTTCTCCAAGGATGAGGCTGTATCCGGTAGCCGCCCTCTGATATAGCCGTAATGACTCATTCATATTACACTGCTTAGCAAGAAAATAGGCAAGGCAATAGACACTAGCTAGCGTGTCTAAATGCTCAGGCCCCAATACCTTCTCTCGCAGCGCCAACGTCTGCCGGTTTATTACCTCAGCCTCTTTGTACTTATTTTGGCTACTTAGCACCCATGCTAAATTGCCCATACTAGTTAGCGTGTCTGGATGTTTCGGCCCTAGCGCTTTCTCTCGCAGCACTAGTGTTTGCCAGTTCATTTCCTCAGCCTCCTTATACTTTTTCTGGCTACTTAGAACCCCTGCTAAGTTATTCATACTTGTTAGTGTAGAGGGATGCTCAGTCCCGAGCACCTTCTCATATCGCGCTAGTGTTTGCTGGTTTATCGCCTTAGCCTCCTTGCATTTTCCCTGGCTATTGAGTACCAACGCTAAGTTGTTCATACTCGTCAGCGTAAAGAGATGCTCAGGCCCTAGTATCTCTGTACTTAATAGCGATGCTTTTCGGTGCGCCGTCTCCGCTAGTCCGTGTTGTCCCAAACTTTCCCAATACCGGCCTATTTGTTCGGAGAGTAAAGCCCACTTCCCCCACTCTTTGTATTCTTCCGGCCACGCAGCAAATTCTATATGCGCTGGTGGTTGCATTTCCAAAACACTCTCTGTTATAGGTCTTGGCGGTGTTCTGTAGCTCTTCAAATATGTTTATCTAGTTGATGTTGTAGAAACCTTGACTACTTAGTGGCAGTGGATGCTGAGCAGTGGTCGTAGGTTGAGCGATAGCAGAGTAACAACAACACGGATAGAGATCCTAGAGCAAAGAGACTCTAGGCGAAGATAGAAGGCTATCACACAGGTAATAGGAGTCTTACGCGATGAAGATATCTCAGGTTCTGTGTTGTCCTATTTCACAATCAGACCACTATGATATAGTCTATAATACACATCAGTAAGCTGCACACATCAGTAAAACACTGCAACTCCGTGTTACACGGGGTTGATACATACTTGCCTAATGTTACAAGTAACAAGCTAAGGATCTCTCCTGACAAAAGCCGCATGATAAGAGACTGTTGAGCAGCCACGTGAGAAGTTAATGATCTCCGTGGGGCAGATATCACGTGACTTGAGAGATCATTGTGCGTCTACAACTAGCAACTGCAAGGCCGTCTAATAGAAGTGCTAACTAAATGATGACAATCCACGTATCCAGCTTAAAGTAGCTTAGCTGTAATCTATCGCTGCAGATGCTAGAACTGTGGCTGTGCGGCTGTGCGGCGCTTTGCCAAGCACTTCAGCACACTCGAAACCAACTTACATCGGAAGCAGCGCGGAGTAGGGTTAAAATCCTCCCATTTTTTGGCTCGCAATAACATACAAACCGAGCGCGACAGACGTCTCGAGATTACTAGTCGAATGCTTATCTGGCTGGATCAAGCTGTGGCACTTTTATTGCCACTCGCCAGTTACGTCATCCTTTCGCAAAAATTAGTCATAAGAAGTTGTGAGCGCTGCACCCTCGAATTTGTTGACTACAACCATAGACTGCAAGACATCATCCTCACAGGTCGTCTTTCACGTACCAGTTTTCATATTCGCTCCAGTATCTTCCCACCTCTCAAGGTGCTCGCCATCAATGGAGAGCAGCAGCGGCTTTGGTCCCAAAGTAGCCATCCCTCGGCTCAAGCGGCCTAATCAGCAGACTGTTTTTTCGAAGTCTCCCCGTATTAGTTCCGAGAGAGTCAGTCAGGCAGTAAGTACCGTACTTGTACGAATCAGGATGGCGCTGAAACAGACGTATAGTGCAATAGATGCCGCAGGCGCAGTATGCATAATATCGAATTCTGTCCATGTGATCGCGCCGACTAGTTGCTTTTCGTGGACATATTATGCGAGCTAACATGTGTAGAACTGAAATGCTCTGGCACGAGACCGCGCTGCACCAACTGCACGAAGTATGACGAGGATTGCATCTATCATCTGCCACGCCGAGACCGGCTAAGAGAGTGAGTTAACTGAGCATCTCTTGAGCACACTTCTGACTTGAACAGGGCCGCTCACAAGATTGAAGTTCTCTCTACACTGCTCGAGGACATCCGTAGCGCCCTCGATGACGAGAATACAAAGAGAATTGATGATGTACTAAAAGAATTTGAAGATGACACGCCTCCACTATCGCCATCCGTACACACCAAGTCATGGAAGAAACGGTTGAGGCAGTTATCACCTAAGGAAGCGGATTGCGATAGGCAGGCATTTGACAAGGCCCACGTCTTATCATCAGTGGGCTCTAACGAGGATCTTGATTTCCTAGAGGAAGATGTCCCAAAGAACCTCAGACCAACCGAGGCGAGCTACATGGGTCGCAACTCTCAAATTGCATGGATGACGACTTTGCAACGAAATCCGGATCAGCATGGACGCGGGCAGTCCTAGACGCCATATGCGGCACCCAGGGACAGCGAGGGGGCTTCCTCCATACTCTCTGATGCACCTTATGAATGTCAAACTATGCAAAACGATATTTTAATTCCAAAATTTACTATTCTACTAACTATACCTAATAAGAAGAGTTAATATGATTTAGCGCGATTTTGTCATGAAGATAGGCTGTAGAGATGAAGTAGTCAGTAGACTACGAAATAGGCCATCTTTAGATACCAACAACACTAAGATAGCTAATAGTGTGATATGACCATATCTCTAGTTATTGAAGCTACAAGAAGCCTAAAAGTGGTAGTGCATGCTATGTTCTCACTTCATGTTATCATATATATCTTCCGACGTCTGCGTTCTGCCGATTCATATCTTCCTCATTTACAATTCCATCGTCCCATTCATCCTCCTTCTCAGACTGCTGCTTAACATACTTATCTTTAAGCTGTATATAGTCATCCATTGGAACCCAGATAGGCTTTCCAGAGTTTGTTCGAACTTGACAGACTTGAATCTCGCTTAGGAGACTGTCACCTTCATAGCTTAAGTCGTGGGAAACGTATTGCACATCCTCTACCTTAAATTTTGGAGGCTGCTCGTCTCTTTTGGCATCTTTTCCACTAAAGTACCCATTGTTAATTTTTGGGGTTTTCTCCTTCGTTACGCCGTAAGTTGTTATATCCTTTTTGCCCTTGTTAGTCGGCTGTAATTTTCCTTTTACCTGATCAGCTGAAGGGGCTTGTTCCTTTTCAGGACTTGCATCTTCTATTTTTTTGGCCTTCTCTTCTTGGTCTTCATCTTCGTCTCTATCATCATCATCATCATCATCATCACTATCAGCATCAGCATCACCTTCTTCCTCTTCTTCCTCTTCTTCCTCTTC